CCACTGGTTTATAACATGTCTCATGAAGACCCAGGAGATGTTTCCTACTCTGAGATCGGAGGCTTGTCAGAGCAGATCCGAGAGTTACGGGAGGTACCCAGTGCCCCAAACCCCCATCCCATCCTCATCCATGCTCTCAGAGAAGCTTTGCAGGCCAAAACCACCTTTTTGATGTGTCCTCCACCACCATGGGGCTGTCCAGGGATCATCTCAGATCCATTTGAAGTGCTTGGACTGGGATTAAAATGAAGATGATCTTTTAGAGAAGAAGGGTTTAAAGAATGCAGGACCCTTTAGGCTGTGGGGGTGCCTTGAAGTTCAAGTGGCAGGGCCAGCAAAGCAGACTGAATTTTGCTCAAAAACTACCAGGGTTGCTCTGGGGAATGGAGTTAGGACAGTGATTTGAGCAAAGAGCATTGAAAAGAAGCAGCAATTGCAGAACCAAGGCAGGGAAGTGGATTGATCCATAGAATCTCCCACATTTTCTTATTAAACAGTTTCTCACACAAAAATGCTGCCAATAAATAATGCAGCTAGGTGAAAAACAGGCTGGCATGTGCATCATTAACTGTTTTAAAACTCAGAGGCTCAGGTTGCTCTCTGTCCCTTCACAGGTCATTGAACTGCCACTGACAAACCCAGAATTATTCCAGCGTGTGGGAATTATCCCTCCAAAAGGCTGCCTGCTCTACGGCCCCCCTGGTGAGTCTCAGCAAAGGGCAACAAGTGTTTGGTGGTTGCTTTCAGACTGTGGCAAGAAGTTGTTTCGCCTTCTTTCCCTTTTTATTTTTTCCTTTCTTTTTTCTTTTTCATTTTTCTATTTTCTTCTCTTTTTTTTCTCTCCTCTCTCCCTCCTCTCTCTCCTCTCTCTCTCTCTTCTCTCTCTCCTCTCATCTCTGATTTTTCCTTTCCCTTTTCCCCCCCTTTTTTTTCCTTTTCATTTTTTCTTTTTCTTTTCCTTTCTCTTTTTTCTCCCTTTCCCTTTTTTCCCTTTCCCTTTTTTTCCCTCCTCCCTAACTCTCTGGCAGTCAGTGTTGAGTCAGTAACTAAACAGCTCCAATCTCCTGTCTATCCAGGCACAGGAAAAACCCTTTTGGCCAGAGCAGTTGCCAGCCAGCTGGATTGCAACTTCCTCAAGGTGTGTAATGGCACTGCCCCCACACCCAGGGGTCTGTTTGCTCTCCAGTCTCCTCAGACACATCCTCTGTCCTTCCCAAGGTGGTGTCCAGTTCCATAGTGGACAAATACATCGGCGAGAGCGCTCGGCTGATCCGAGAGATGTTCAATTATGCCAGAGATCATCAGCCCTGCATCATCTTCATGGATGAGATCGATGCTATTGGTAAGGCTCCTGGCCTGGGGGGTGGCTGGGCTCTCCTTGTGAGGCTGGAGTCAGCTGTAAAGCAAATTCCCCCGTTTGAAAGGCAAAAATCAAGCAGCAGAACTGATGGGTTTGTGTGCTGCAGGTGGGCGCCGCTTTTCCGAAGGCACATCAGCTGACAGAGAAATTCAGAGGACTCTGATGGAGGTGAGTGTCCAATCCTGACTGGCCTGAACAGCCACAGTAAATAATAGTACAGGTGTGAATTATTACCTGGGATCTTGCTTTGCAGAACCTTTTCTGGGTTAATAAACTAGAAGTGAACTAAGAGCTGCTTTTACAAAAGGCAGCTGCACATTCTGGTAACTCAGCCATGAGTTCAAAGTGGAGACTAATTGAATCTTTTTTAATGCTGAAATGATTTGAGATATTTTCTTTTGCTTACTGCTGCTCCCTGCATCTTTGAAGGTTTGCAGAACCCCCCTTTATGTCTCTTTAGTCCCAAAGACAGTCTGTAACATTTTTGGACTATTGCAATTGGATTTTCAAAGCTAGGAGGAGCACTTGTATTTCTTTGTTTCTGTATTCATTGCTTTGATAAACTGGGTTGTGTGAAGAGAATATTAAAACCACTGGTGACAATTAGGAATTCTGAAGCTAATGGGAACCTTCCTTAGCCTGTGTTTGCAAACAGTTTGCCTGGTTGAAAAGAATGTGTCTGCCTTCCATAGAGAATTAAATCACTGTGATCAAAGAGCAAGTGCTTTGAGTGTTCACAATGAAATGCCTTCCTGTGTGTGGATTAGTATTCCAGAGGCTGTTCTTCAAGTCTAATTGGAATGTCCTGGCCTTGGTGCTCTACAATCCAAATGTGTCAGGCAGCCATTGGCTCCTTTAGTCCTTGCAGTATTTTCTTTGCCTCATTGTTTTAGTTGAGTGTTTCACGTTTGAGCTCAGCTTTGTTCAGTGTCATTTTCTGTGGGCAAAGCATTTTCAATGTCTCTTGAGCTCTTCATTGCTTGGGATGGAATACTCAGGGAGCTCAAGGCCTTGTAGGGTTTATTTTTTACTTCAGAGCTTTTCATCTTGGTGAGGAATACTTAGGCAGGAAAACAAATCAGACTGGGAGGATTTGGGGTTGTTTACAACCAAAGTTCTGTTCCCTGTTAGTTGTTGAATCAGATGGATGGATTTGACACTCTGCACAGAGTTAAAATGATCATGGCTACCAACAGACCTGACACCCTGGATCCTGCCCTGCTGCGGCCCGGAAGGCTGGATAGAAAAATCCGTGAGTTTCTGCTTCCCAGTGGCTGCAGGGAGGATGTAATCCCTGGGAATTGTGGGTTTTGCTTTGATTGAAGCTGTAATTCTTTCTAGATATCGATCTACCAAATGAACAAGCCAGATTAGATATTCTGAAGATTCATGCAGGTCCTATCACTAAGCATGGTGAGATAGGTAAGTAGAAGTTCCCTGGATGTCATTCCTGCTGCTGTTTGTAGGGATGGGAAGAGGGTGAGTTGTTACAGTGATTCTGGCTGTATTCCCACCTTTACACTGCCCACACAACTTCCCCTCTTGGAACTCTGCTTGTTTTATTTTTAAATGCATCCTGATTAAACTGTTGTTAAGTTTGAAAAGGAAAACTGGATGTAAGCCCTTGGAGCCCAGCTGGAAACTGGAAAATCAACAAGGTTCTCATCAGGCAGTTTCCTGTTTCTTATGGAATGGCTTAGTGCAAGTAAAGAGTGTTTTCATTCACCCCTCAATGAAAGAAATAATGCTAATGAAGAAGTCTGAAAGCAACAATCTTTAAAAATCAGGGAGAAACCTTGGAGTTTGGAGATAGCATAAGCAAAACTGTTGTCTGGTAGTGGTGTGGATCATTCTCTCAGGAGTAAGGAGAGAATAATAGGATAAAATTGGGAAGGTTTATTTAAGGACTGTGCTACTCTGAGCTGCCCAGTCCTGCTTTCACAGTGACTCCTCCCAGCCTTCCTGGAGGAAGCTGGGGCTGGGCTTTGCCTTTAAAGCAGCACTGGCTGCCTGGGAGTGCAGCAGGGGCCACCCCCATCCCTGTGTGCTGAGAGCAGCGATTCCTGCAGCCCCTGGAGCTGAGCCCAGCCACCATCTGGCTGCATCAACAGCTGCAGCTCAGGGACAGCAGGAGGGAGCTGGGGGAGGGCCAGGGCTGGGCACTGCTTTTCTTAGCAGCACTGTTGGCTTAAAGCTGCACGTGGCTGCAGGCTAGGAGAGAGAAGGAGCTCCAAAGCAAATCGTGAGCCTGAGGTGAAGTTCTTGGAGAGAAAATTCTTACAAGGCATGGAGTGACAGCACGAGGGGGAATGGCTTCCCACTGCCAGGGGGCAGGGAGAGATGGGATATTGGGAGGAAACTCTTCCCTGTGAGGACAGCGAGGCCCTGGCTCAGTTTTCCCAGAGAAGCTGTGGCTGCTCCTGCATCCCTGGAAGTGTTCCAGGCCAGGCTGGGTGAGGCTTGGAGAAAAGTGAAAGTCCCCCTGGCCATGGCAGGGATTGGAATGAGATGGTTTTGAAGGTCTCTTCCAACCCAAACCATTGTGGGATTCTGGAATTCTCCTTCATCCTGTTCTCGTGCCTTTGGCACTGCAGTGGAGTCATTCCTTCTGCTGTTCAGCAGAGGTGTCAGGTCTTGCTAAATCCTGCATGTGATGTGGAAAGACTGTGATGCTCAGCTTTGATACTGCAAAAGGAAGGCCTGAATTTAGCAGCAGGGTGAGGTGGAAATTGGATTGAAATCCAAAGATAAGGATTTGCTCAGGTTCCAGCATGAGATTCTCCTGCTTCAGCCCTGGTGTCTGCTGAAAACCCTAAACTCACAAACCTTGCACTGTTCAACCTTGTTCATTCCCCTCACTTATATTTTTTAACTTCCAAATTATGAAAATAATTTTTTATGTGACAGTGTACTACATGGAATTGAAATACAGCTGAAGAACTCATCTTTAGGAGCTTTTGGATTCTTAAGATAAAAACATTCAATTAAAATGTTTTCAATTTTATACAGAAGGGAAACAGAAAAGTTTTCCAGGGAGTTAATAATTTTAATAAGCAGCCTTGCAAAAATCAGAACTTGCTGGAGACTCAGCAGTGGTTTCGAAATTGATTTCCACTGAATTATAACCATGGCCACTCTTTTAGTAAATAGATGTGCATAAAACATCAGGCTTAATATATTAGGAACTAAGTGCCTTTAGTAGATGGAGTGTTGGAAGTGGAAAGGGACTGAGTTATGACCACTTGGAGAGAAGTTTTCTGGGCTTTTACAGCATTTAATGATAAGAGCATTGCCTTGATGGAGCTTTTGCACTTCATGTTGATTCTTGTAACCACAAGTTGGTAACTTTGGGATTTAATTATATAACATGAGCTCTTGGCTGCCAACCATTTCTGTTTTAATGGAAGGGCTGATACAGCTGCTGATTCCAGTTAATTTATCAGCCCAATGGGCAGCTCTGTTTGCACTGAAATCCAAGTTTAGTAGCTGGATGTGTATTTTATTGGCATTCCTAAGGGGAAGGCTGATTTATTCCTAATGGGTGCTGGTGTTTTATGAACAGATTATGAAGCAATCGTGAAGCTTTCAGATGGCTTCAACGGAGCAGACTTGAGAAACGTCTGTACTGAAGCAGGTAATTCCTTAACTCTTCATTTGGATGTGCTAAATCTTGGATAATGCTGAATCTTGGAGCTGTTCCTCTGTGGATTAAACCCAGGAGCTCAGAAGTGTTCTGCTGGAACAGAACATTGAACTGATCTGATCCAGCCACTTGTTGGTTGATCATGATGTGTCCCACTGTCTCATTAGAACCAGAAACAGGGATTGAACCCATTTTCCTCCTTTTTGGAGAAAATTCAGGGCTCTTGGTGCCCATGTGCCTGCAGAGTTGATGCTGTTTTATGCTTTTTTCACATTAAAATTTGTGCACTTGGGGTTTGCCTGCACGGGCAGGCTGAGTAACACAGTAAATGCACACTCAGAGTTTAAACAAGTTTTCTTTTTAGTACTCCCTTAGTTCAGAAAGGCGAATTCCCTCCTCTTCCCAACATCCAAAACATGGGAAGGTCATGTAGATAGTATAACCTGGATCAGTTTTCATCTGAATTTGGGTGAAACTTCACATTCTGTCTCTTCACACTGTTAAATCCTCCCTCCCAGGGATGTTTGCGATCCGTGCTGATCATGACTTCGTAGTTCAGGAAGATTTCATGAAAGCTGTCAGGAAAGTGGCTGATTCCAAGAAGCTGGAGTCCAAGCTTGACTACAAACCTGTGTAAATTAACCATAGAATTTGTGATTGATTGTACACATCCTACTGTGTTAATGCATAAAAAAAAGGAGAGAAATAATGTACCTCTTGATTATCATTGTAAGGTGTTTGTGTAGCATGTAGCTAGTAATTTTGGGAATGCTAGTTGCAAGTTGGCTACAGGAGTGTGTTTTCTGTACAATTCTGAAATGCAATGTTCATTACAGCCCAGGCTCAGTAAAAATGTGTGGAGATGTGTTGTTCTCTTAGCAATTATGGTGGGAATTTATAAACGTGCCTGAAGGGATTCACAAACAGAAGAAAGTCAGTTCATTTCTTGACTTTTTGTATATCAGTAAATCTCCTTTCCCCAAACAGTTTATGAATAAAACCTGTTTAAATCTGTTATCCTGGTGGATTTTGTGTGTAGCTCTCACAGAGAGGTGAATTTTGTGTCTTCTGAGTTGGAGGAGCAACTTTTCTCTGGTGTAAGGATTGCAGTCCTGAGCCTGCTGTACCAAACAGAGGCAGCCTAACCCTTGGAGAGAGAAGGGACTGGTGGGGTCTGCCTGCTACAAGCCAGGTGCCCTTGGCCTCTTTGCCCACCTGGGCTCCCTCATTTGCTGCTGAATTCTGGAAATAGGATTTACCTGAGCTGGTGTATATTTACTGCAAGAAGTAAACAAGGTGGTGGTGGTTTTAAGGGCATCTGCTTTACTTTTATTTTTCAAGCACAGAGACCCACTGCACTGTGCAGCTCACCTGAATGTTGGGCTGGAGCAGCAATGCACTAAATTGCACTTCTGGCTACTTCTAATTATCCTAATTGGATTATTCTGGGCCTGCTCAGCTGACAGACAAGTACATTAGATTAGCTCTTGACTTCCCAGGAAACACACAGCATCTCCCTGGCAATTTTAACAGCTGTAGTTTTATTTCCTTTCCCATCACAGATCAGACAGATGGTGTGTAAGATGTAGAACAGTTAGGACAGGACAGGCAACAATGTTTCCCTGTTTATATGGCTGTTACAGACCTTTCTCCTGTTGTGGCTGTGTCAGGAGTGTAAAGATGCAAATCTCAGGTTTAGTTTTAGCATCCTTTTGAGTGCAGCTCGTACAGCCCATGTGCCTGGAACAATGAGAACATGAAATCAAAGTCCATTTCTGAGCAGAACAGTGATGTAAACAGCAAGCTGAGCCTCTGGCTGAGGGAATGGTTGCTGAAATATGATTGTTGAAGGTTTATCAAAGTTTTATTTAGTAAAAAGAGCAGAAAGGTGCACTAGAAATAAAAATTGAGATTCTAAAATTCTGGTATTTCCAAAAGGACACTTCCAATTTTATTTAAGCAGGCAACCCATTGAGTTTGCTTACTTTGACTAAGCTTCCCTCAGAAATTCCACTGACACAGTGTAGAATTTTGGTTCACCGAAAAGCAAATGAGTGAAAAACTGCAGCTTAAAGTGAAATCTCATAGATTAATAAAATGGTTTGGGTTGGAAGGGAGCTTAATGACCATCCCATCCCACCCCCTGCCATGGCAGGGACACCTTCCACTATCCCAGGTGGCTCCAAGTCCCATCCAGCCTGGCCTTGGGCACTGCCAGGGATCCAGGGGCAGCCACAGCTGCTCTGGAATTCCATTCCAGCCAGCAATTCCCAGTTCCCAATCTCCCACCCATCCCTGCCCTCTGGCAGTGGGAGCCATTCCCTGGCTCCTGTCCCTCCATGCCTTGTCCAAGTCCCTCTCCAACTCTCCTGGAGTTTAGAACATAGGACCTCAAAGAGCAGAAAAACAGGTTCTTGTCCCAACACTGAGGTGTCTGAGGACATCATTCACACGAAGAGGAGCAGACTGGACATCCCAGAGTCATTTAGGGAGGAAAAGACCTCTGGGATCATCCAGTCCTATCTGTGACCGATCCCCAGCTCATCCCCAGCCCAGAGCACCGAGGCCACTGAGGCGTTCCTCGAACACTTCCAGGAATGGGGACTCCAAACTCCCTGGGCCATCCAGAGATGACCCTCGTGGCGCTGCCAGCTAAAACGTGAGGGCGATGGAGCCAAGATGGGAGCGGGCGTGTGAGGAGAAGGAGCCCTCGGCAGTGTCGGGCACGGCGTTAATGGCCGCGCCACGGCGTGAGGCGCTCCGAGCGGGCCCTGGACACCGCTAACAGGCAAAGCGCCCAGTACTGAAACTTTGGGGTGAATCACCCCGAATTTAGGGCTGGCGAGCAGGTTCATTAATCCAACCGCGGCAGCAGCTGCCCGTGAGGGGAGGGCAGAGCGCCGAGGGCGGAGAGGGAAGAAGAGGCGGCAGCAGCAGCAGCAGCAGCATGGCGGCCGGGCGCGAGCGGCTGAGCGCGCCGCCGCCGCCTCCTCCTCCGCCGCCTCCATCTCCTGCAGCTCCCGAGCCGGAGCCCGCGGCCCCGCTGCCCAAATAGCCGCCCTGCCCCGGGTCCTGCCCCGCCCGGACAGCGCCCGGCCATGGAGCTCGCCAAACCGGCCTTCCCCGCGCTGCCGCAGGCCAAAGAGGACTCTGAGGTGAGCGGGAGCTCCGGTCCCGGCCCCCCGCACACGCCCGGCCCGCGGCCCCGCCGGGGCTTCCCCTCACAGCCCCGCGCTGCCTCCCGCGCCCCTGCCCGCGGCATTCCCTGAGGGATCCGTCGCAGGCCGCGGGTCCGTGTCCCGCCCTGCGACCACCGACCGCGTCCCTCCTGCCCTGGTCGCTGCCGGGCTCTGCTCCCCCCGTCGCCCTCCGGCATCTCCGCTGCACGGTGCTCCGGCCTGGAAGCCTCTCGCTATCCAGGTTGCTCCATGCCCTGTCCAACATGGCCTTGAGCGCTTCCAGGAATGGGGCAGCCGCAGCTTCTCTGGGCAGTCTCGTCACCCTCACACTCAGGGAACTGAGTCCCTCTGCTTCATCTCCTTCGGCTTTTGCCCACCCGCAGCTGCCCCCGCTCTTTTTTGCGCCCCTTTTCTGCTCTGCCGAGCCCATCGGGGCGGTGTTTGCGCGGCCCCGGAGCCGGGAGCTCTGTGCGGCCGAGGACAGGTGGCAATGTGCGCTGCGCGGTGTCTGGTTTCTGAACTTGGCTGAACTCCCCGCCGCCGATTTGTTCCTGTGTGTCACAAACGTCCCCGAGTGTCCCCTTCGGTGGCCTCGGATATTTAATGCGAAATGTCACAGCCTGCGTGAGGGAAGCCGAGAGTGTCTGAGCTCTCCAGACGTCTGTCGATTGTCATGTATTTCTAAACATCAGCATTTATTTCTGTTTGGACAGCGTTGCTCAATGCTGTTAAGGTGGTAAATTACCTGAAATATGGGAGTGACTTTTTGTTCTGGTTTTGTTGTCAGGATTTGATACTCCCCATCACTTCAGAGCTCTGGAGGTGTTACAAGTCATTTAGATGTTCTCACAAAGTTGTAATCACTTTGTATCTCAACACAAATCATCTGCCACCCTGTGAGGTTTATAATTTGTTTGCTTTTAAATATCTTTTCTTTCTGGAGAAATCGTGTTATCCACAGTTTTGTTAACTAAATCAGCCCGGGTGGCTTTTCATCTAAAATGGCTAAAGAGGAATGCAGGGTTAAAAGAAAAATGAAACCAGAGCTCAGTGCCAGTCTAACAACTCTCAACTGATGAAAACTGAGATTGTAATACAGTGTCTTTCAGAGTAGCTTTTACTTTTGTCTTTTTTCATGGGCTGTCTGTAAATAATATAATTTGTAGTGTGTTAGAACTTCACATAGTGGGGATTTTCAAGAACTGATTCTAAAAACTGTAAGAATTTCTTTTCAGTATGCTGCATTTGTGTGTGACTTGATCTAAATGCAGGATCATGTCAACAAATTCTGAGCTCTGATAGAAGATAATAAATAGTTGGAGTATGTGGGGGAAGCAGGAAAGTGAAAGCCAGTGGTGAGTGTCAGAGTTCTTGTGGAGGTAACTTGTTAAAAGCAAGGTGAGGGGGACTTAAGACAGTGCTTTGGAAAAGCAAACTGAGGAAACTAAAATCGTCCTGCCCACAAAATGCAGTTTTTCCTGGAAAGCAGAAGATGCTCTTGTGCACTGCAGCGAGGAGGCTCTTTGATGAGCAGCAGTCCCTAATATTTTGGGAAGTTGGTGATGGATGGTTCAGTGCTGGCTTGGCAGGTTTGCTTTCAAGATACTGGGGAGGGGAGGAGGGAGAGCTTGGGGAATCCCTGGCTGGCTTCCTGCTGCCCAAAAATGCAGCTCTGTCACTTTAACTCACTCCAAGTGCCACCCCCAGCTCCCTTCTCCGAGCTGACACTTGGAACCATGCCACAGCTTTAATAATCATAATAATAATTAAAAACAAAGCCAAACCAGGTTGGCTGCACAGCATCCCATTCCTCCCTGGCACAAGGAGAAGTGTTGAGGGGAGAGAGCAGCCTGGACTGACTGGGGCAAGCTGCAGGGATGGGTTCTGATAAATAGGTCACTTTTCCAGCCTGGATGTTGTTTGCCCTGTCCCTAATCCATAGTGTGGTGGTTGGGATTGCTGGATTTCCAAACCTCTTGGCTCTTGATGCTTCTGGGAGCTTGGGAAATGCCAGAAAACCTGGAACTCATCATTCTGGCAAAGCTTTTCTGAGAATGCCTGTGAACTGTGTGTTCTTTTGCAGTCTGGTGGTGGGGAATATCTCAGTTTTATGAGTAATAGTGATTATATGTGATGTGGAACCATTTCTAAGCTTAGATTTTTATTCTTATTTTTCTAAAATCAGCACACTTTCCGAGGTCAGGTCTCAAACTTTCTTAAATTTTAGGAGTTCTGTGTTACATGTTTATACTGGGAGGAAAAAATATGGCTAAAAGTCCATTAAAAAGGGTCAGGTTAATAACAATTAGTACATGTTGGCTTATTAGTACTGCTGGAAAGAAGGTCAATAAGGACTGCAATAATTGAAGGAATTTAATAGAAATTATTTTCCCATTAAATTTTAAACAAAAAAAAAGACTAGGATATATTATATATATAATGAGAACACAGCAACAATTACCAGTTTATTTCTTTGTTAAAACATATTTGCCTGCAATCAGGCTGAGCCAACCAAGTATTCATGATGTACTTAGATTTTTTTTTTTTAGGACTCTCCATGGGTTTTGTAATTAAATTAGCAGCCTATTGACTAAGCAGACATATTTGCCTTTTTATTATGCATAAAGGCTGAGTTCTTTTTAGCACATGGGGCTTTTCTAAAAAAGAAATTTACATTTTTGACAGCTATATTTAGTCTGAAATGCTAATGTATTTCTGACTGCTTTTTTTAGCTATGAAGTGATGCAGCCCATCTAAAGGTGGAACAAATCTATTAAACTTTTTTAACTCTCACTTTTGATAGGCAACACAAATAAACCCCTTAAAACACAGCTTTCCCCCTCCTCTGCAGACTCTTTAAAATAAGTAGGAAGCCTGTGTCATTAGAATTATTTTACCTGCCCACATAATAGAGCCCAAAAAATGGAGAACAAATGCTGTGTTGTGCTGGGAGATGTAAATCAGGTGACAGATTTTGATCACAGCTCCGTGGGATACTATCAGATTGCTTTGCATAAATCAGTGCTCTGTGGCAGCTGGAGCTGAGCACTCTCTCAGTGCTGATTAATTTATTAATTTGTGCCTCCCATCCAGGGGAGCCTGGTGGGATCCACACAGTGGAGCACTTTGTAGAACTGGGGAGTTAGGGCATGTTTGGGTTGTTTTAGCTAAATGAGGATTGTCTCAGCATAGCCCGACTCATGAATTAAAAAAAAAAAGGTCATGAAAAAGGCCATTCCTGCAGCATTATGAACAATTCTCATAATCTGTGTGAGTGTGGCACTCCAGGCACTTGGCTTTGTGCTTCCTGTCAGCTGAAGGACTCTGCCTCCACTGCTTCATTTCCAGTTTTGTTGGAAAAAAATTGTATGAGGGAAGTTTTTAGCAGTGCTGCTGATGGTGTTTAATGAGGTGCCTTTAGGACCAGTGTTAGGGAATGGGACAAAAAGGAATTTTTTGTTCCTACTTTTCCTTTAGTTTCACCTTTTATCCTTTTCTGTGGCTTGTGTTTCTCTCTGCTAAAATAACATTTCTTTCCCTGTTGTCCTTCATTCCTTCCCTCCTCCATGTGCTCTGTCATTCCCACCTGCTTTTATTCCTCTTTTCCACCTTCCTGCTTCTGTATTCCTTTGTATTTTCAATAGCAAAAATGTCTCTGGTGGAGCCTTCCCACTGTCTGGGTGCTCCTGACAAACACACAGAATTCCCAGAAATCTGCTTCCATCCCTGCTGAGCGTGGTGGCCTTGGGATGGAGCAGCTGTGCAAGGGTGGCAGTGCCACCTCCCCCTTTCTGGTGCCCCTTTCTCCAGCCCTCAGCCACTTTTGGGATAGCAGCACTGCCCAAAAATTCCTCGAGCTCTTCTCATGGCAGTGCCATGCTCACATCTTCAGGGAATTAAAGGATTTGGTTTAATTTTGTGTATTTTGTAGACTTGCACCAGGATTTCTACCTGGGGAAAAAAAAAATAAATATATATATAATTGAGCCTGCACTGGTCAGGTAGTTGCACTAAATGTTGTAGGTTCCTTCCAACTGAAATAATTCTATTTGTATAAAACCCCCACGTTTTCAATAGAACTGTCCAAGGACACAAAGCATGACTGAAACTGAAGACACAACCTTTCACTTCATTCCTGTTTGTAGCTAATTTTGAGGCTCTTAAGTACCACGTTTCACGGTGATAGATGTGACAGGTTTCAGTGATACTCAAATATTTCCCTTGAATGTTCTTCCAGTACCTCATTTAGTTTGTCTCTTTTCTTATTAAAAAATGGGAAGTGATTGTGCTCTGCTTTATTATTTCGAGATTTCTTCTGCAGTTGTTCCATTTTACAAATACTGATTTTTTTGTGCAGGTATTTGGAAAAGAGGGATGTTATCATTGCTGTGTTAGGCTATGTAAAATAACGTGTAAAAAGCTTTCGAACCAAGGTGTGAGCTCATTTGTGAGTGCCACTTAAAGCTGCCTGGGAGTGAAAGCCTTTGTGTCGAGGTCGTTGTTGTGGGATCAGGATGTTTCTTTTATCCAGCCCCAATCCGCGCTGCGGCCCGGGCAGGGGGATGCTGCTGCTGCAGTCCTGCCCTCTCTAGCACGGGCTGTAATTTGAATTTCCTGTGCAGGGTTAGAGGAAAGGCAGGAGTTCCCTTGGCCAGAGCAGATGCAGGAGCTGCAGCAGGGAGAGCCCCTGGCCGTGCTGCTGTAACAGTTTCTGCTGCTCAGCTTCACAACTCGGGGAGAACCTTGTAGCAGTTTGGAGTGTTACAGGGAAACAGCTTCAGGCAGGATTCTCACTGCCCTGGGCTTCTGAGGCGCACAGTCCATCGTGCAGGAGCCCTGCTGGGATGGGTTGTGATGGGGAGAGAAAAATCAACAACACAAAAACTGTCTGGGAGTTGGGAAAGGCTTGGACACCTGGAGAGGTCAGGGAGGATTTCCAAAGGATTTCCAAAGTGATGGGGGAAGCAGGAGGAGTCATTGCAGGGGGTGGGTGATGCTGAGCAGGTGAAAAGCAGCAGTGAAAATCGAGAAGAGACTTCCTGAGCCCATCTCCTCTAACTAACGATTGGATTTCTTTTCCTGGTGGTTTTTGCAGCGTTTCTGAGAGCTTCTCCCTTCACCTGGGCCAGCCTGTGGTTTGCAGGCTCTGCTAATGACAAGGCAGCAGGAGCTGAACCATCCCAACTGGGCTTGCTTTTCAGCCCGAGCTGAGCTTTGACAAAAGCTGCACCTTTTATGTGTGGAGATCAGATGGGTGTGCAGGCTTCAGCTGTCAGTGAGGGACCAGTTAAGCTCTGTCACGTGCATCCATTTCATGCATTCCTTCTGCAGAGGCAGATGCAGGTTGGCTGTTGTGTTTAAAAAACACCCTCTTTGCTTTGGTACAGAGCCTCAATGCCAGGGCTGGTAAACTCATTTAAAAATAATAGTAGAAATGTTTTAGATTAAGTCCTAGCCAAGGGCACTGTTACAAAAAAAACCCTCCACTTCACTTTTTGCCATTAAACTGTTCTAAGAAGGAACAGGTTGTGGCAAAATATGGACAAAATAACCCAAACCTTTGGCATATATTGGATACCAAGAGGCTCTTTGTAGTGTGGACAAAGTTTACCTGTTAATTCATAGTGTCCATTTATTTCAGCTGGAGATTGGATGGGGAAGGGAGGGCTTTGGAATGTGCTTTATTCCCCCTTCTCCTGCATGTTTGAGGAGATCTGTCAGAGGGGAGTGGCTCATTTTTAAAACTTTGAAATTCTAGGGATTCTTTTTTTTCCACTCCATCTCTCTGGTGTCTTGCAAGTATTGATGAGTGAGGCTTCCAGTGAGTTGTCACTTGTTCTGGAGAACCTCCCAAGTCCCTGGCAGCAAGGAATGCTGTTCTTCCCTCCACCTCTGGCATCACCCTTTGTTATCTTAGCAAAATTCTTGCATTTGATCTGATCAAAAGAGAAGCTTTCAGTTGTTTTTTGTCTGCTTGGTGCTTCAGACAGTGTGGAAAACCTGGCTGGTGAATGAATTCCTTAAAATGGAACCTGTGCTTGGCTTCAGTCTCCATTAATAGATTGGGTTTTTTACATAACTTTGCATAACATTTGAATAATCTGGCATTGTTGGTTTTGAAAGCCTTGAAGGGCTGTCAGCAGTCACCAAAATCATTCTTTCAGTAGTTTGTGTACTTGTCTCAGATTAAATGTTTTCCTTAAACACTGTCTTTCAGAGTTATTTTGCAGACTAAATCCCATTGGAAGCTGTATCCTTTTTTGCCTCTTGGAGGGCACTAAAGACCAATGTCTGGGGCCTGTAGTGATTTTTTTTTTCTTGTTCAGAACATCTGTGCTGTCTCTTGGGATTTGGTTCCCTTTGGACTTGCATTGCTCAATTCTTACCTATTTATTTTGCACAGTTTACAGCTGTTGGGGCTAAAAATTTCCTGCCTCTGATGCATTTGAAAAGAATATTTCCAATGTGTTGTTAAGCCAAAATAGTGGTAAATTTGTGTTTTCACTGTGCTCCAGATTAAGATTTCTAAATTCCACAAACAGAGTAATAAACCTACTAAAGTGCTTGTATATTCCTGGAGTGCAACTGAAGCTTTTCAGCGTTTATTGGTTTTAGAGTGGGACAGAGCTGGGGTTTTCTGGCCTTTTGAGGGGTGAACCATGCTTTTGTGTACAGAGCCAGCCAGCAGGGTTGTGCTGAACCCTCTCAGGTCCCCTTCAAAGGATAGTTCTGTAAATATCATCCTTCTGTCACAACATTTCTCCTTCCTACTTCCAGGAGTTTATTATTCCAGCTGGAACATGCAGAAGTAATTTAGTTACTTGTGTGTCTTCAGCAAAGCCCATTTCAGTGCATTTTATTTCCCTGTTTGTGCTGCCACTTTAGGTGACATCCAAAGGATTTTCTGGAGTGGCTTAATGTTTGTTTGCTTGCTTTTCCAGAATAACTTTACTGATACTAAAATCCTTCTTAATTCCACGACCAAGAGCTGGAAAATCCTCCCTGTGCACTGTGGGGGTGTCTGAGGGAAGCACAGGATTTGTATTGTGTCGGTGAAAAGAGGTTTAATGTGAATTTAAAGTGTAGGTGCTCAGGTGAACAGTGCTGCAATCTAAGGGATCCTCCCTGCTGTAATCCAGACGTCACTTCCCAGCTGGAATATTTGATGTTTAACTTCCCCATACTTCTGAGGACATCAGACCACAGGGGAAGTTTTTTTCTTAGCTCCTGGTCTGTGTGTGTGACTCAAACAACAGAGTTACGTAAATAAATGTATGCAGCCTATTGGATATGTTTGACTATTCCCTTTTATTTTTTTTTACCTCCAGATGGTAACTGGGATCTCAGCTCCAACTCCTTCATGTGTGAGGGTCAAGGAATGAGTAAGAGCCTGTTAATAGAGGCCAGTGGGAGTTGTAGGGAAGGGAAGACAGGAATAGTCTCTGCCTGAGCAGTTCCTGCTCAGCTGTGGCAGAGCTGCAGAGTGGAGCAGAGGATGGAAATGTTGATCCTGGTGTTTGCTCTGGTCAGCTGGGAATGGGAGCTGAGCCCTCCCAGTCTGGGGCTCTGGGGAGGGGGTAAATGAGCACCAGGATCCTGGGCAGGAGGGGTTTATTTACTGTGTGAGGAGTAAATAAAACTCCTCACCGTTTACTCTGGGGTGGAGACTCACTAAGGGCTTGCTGTGGTCACGGAGAGCACAAATTTCTGGATTTGCTGGAGCTGATCCTGAATATTCAGAGTGGATGAGGTGAGGCAGTGTGGATTTTCAGGGAGTCACCTGCTCTGCTTGTTATCTTCTGTTGTTTCAGTGGCTGCAGGAATGCATCAGCCAGAGGAATTCCTTTGCTTCCCTGACCAGTACAGAATGTTCTAAAGCTTTTTTCCTTTCTCTTTCTTCCCCTCCTCACTTCAGAGGGAAGTTTCTCAGCAGAAAGCTGAGGTGTGGATAAGCTGATAAGGATCTTTTCCAGCCTTAAGGATTTTTTATAGAATACTTGAGGTTTCTTCACATGAACTTTCCAAATAGTGTTCCTTGCACTTGGGTGGTGCTGGCATCCATGTGGAAAGGTAGCAGGGAGCTTGTACAGAACTTTGATTATTTTCTATAAAATGCATGCCCACACCTCTGCCTGAATGTTTTTCTCTGTTGTATATGTAATTATTTTAATTTTTTTTTTTAGGATTGGACCTATCCCATGAGGAGAGAGATGCAGGTAGGACACTTTTATTTACTGTTTTGAGGCAAAACCCTCAAAATGGAGCATTTAGTGAGGAGAAAAAAAGAGCTGGTACCAAAATCAGTCCTTACCTGTAAAGTGTCAGGCAGCACCATGGGAGACAGAATTAATTAGTTAATTAAGGTGAGGATTTGCCAGCTTGGAATACAGGTGTGTTTGCATCTCTGTGGTGCAGGTACTAAACCAGAAATCCCCAAATATTACATTTTTGTCTTTCTGAATGTCTTTAGATAATTACAAAAAGTGTATCAGAGGTTTGCCTTCTGCCTTAGCCTTGGAAGTGTTCTCCAGTGGGATGGACAATTAAAATTTTCCTACCATGGTGTCAGTCCAACTTTTGCACAAGATCTACACACCTGCATGTCTTCATTGGTGGGGAGATAAATGGTTAAAAACTGATATTTTCCCACTGCTAGACCAATGCTTGAGGAACTTCCATGTGTTTATTTCTTTTCATGAGAGCAGTTTGGAATTAATTACAGGACAGGATAATGAACCAAGTTAAGATTTCCCTTCCCTTGATCTGGGGCTGGGTGAGATGCAGGAATCAAGCTGGAACTTAGTTCAAATCAAGGACTTTGTTCCTGGTCCAGAACAAGATATCCAGCACCAAGATCATGTTTCTTTTATCCTGCCAAACCATTTTTTTTTTGCTTGTCCTGCTATAAATGACATTGATTACACATTTCAGGAATATGTAAATTATTTGTGTCCATGTTCTGAGGTGAGTGGAATGTGTTATTTCAAATCATCTGGAGCTGATATTAAATGTCTGTTCTTCTCCTGCCCCTAGGAAATCTTACCTGGGTTATTTTTAGGCCCATATTCTTCAGCTATGAAAAGCAAGGTATGATTTTCAGAATATTCTCTCACAGGGAAGCTTTGCTGTGGTGATTTGATTTGTTACTGTGGAGATCTGCTCTGTGTATCTATAGAGGTGTAAATTTGGTTGCAGTTCTGAACTGGAATGTGAAAAATGCCAAAGTGGAAGGAATATGTGGTGCATTTGTGGGATGGTTTGAGCTATTGGTATTAAAATTGAGTCTTAAATATGATTTTTCTTAGAGAATTTAAGCTATTTGAGACTTTACCAATTCCTATTTCCTTTGCTGAAGACCTGTCAGAACTGGGAACTCACACACAGACATTAAAACAAGGAAAATTAAATTACAATAAAGTCAAGCACTGCTGAGGCACAGCTTGGCTCTACAAATTTACCTCATGGTTTAAATGATCTTCTTTTCATGGTCTGGTTCCAGCAAGAATCCAGTGCTGGCTGCAAATTCCTCTCTCGTGTAGGGACTTGAAATTTCAGGCAGAGTGAAAGGTGGGGAGAGACAAACAACTTCATTGAATGCCTTCCTGTTTTGTCATTTTGTCTTTTGGAAAAACAACAATTTTACACTCTGAATTCTAGAAAACCAGCTCAGATTTTCCTTGGTGTAGCCTTATTTTGTATCTAAGTACATCTTTTCTTTTTATTACTATTTCTATTTATATATAGAATATATATAAATAGTATAATAATAAATATTATTATAAATAGAATATATATAAATAGTATAATATAGTAATAGATA